TCCCAAAGTAAATGAAACATTTTTAAATTCAGATGACAAATAGAAAAACCCAAATATGCACAAAGTAAACAGATCCTGCTCTCTTGTCCCTTCAAGAGCTGCATCTCACCCCAGTTTTTCTTCTCCTTATAACCTTATCTAGATTCCCAGTTGAGGGAACCGATGACCTAATTCCTCTCAGTTCTAATGCAACACAGGAGCAAGTTCCAAATATCTATGCTGGTCTTGCTGGGACAGCAGAATCCCAGGGGTAGTTATCCTCCTCCAGAGGTAATCCTGTGATCAGTGCTAACACCACATGCCAGCCCTTGTATCAGCTTGTTGGAGAAGCATCTTTACTTCCCGCCAAACAGTGACCTAGATACCATCTCACACCCGTTAGAATGGTGATCATTACAAAGTCAGGAAACAACAAATGCTGGAGAGGATGTGGAGAAATAGGAATGCTTTTCTTAGTGGGAATATAAATTACTTCAACCATTGTGGAAGATAGTGTGGCGATTCCTCAGGGATCTAGCACCGAAATACCATTTGACCCAGCAATCCCATTACTGGGTATATACCCAAAGGATTATAAATCGTTCTACTATAAAGACACATGCACACGTATGTTTATTGCAGCACTGTTCACAATAGCAAATATTTGGTATCAACCCAAATGCCCATCAATGACAGACTGGATAAAGAAAATCTGGCACATATGCACGATGGAATACTATGCAGCCATTAAAAAGGAAGAGTTCATGTCCTTTGCAGGGACATGGATGAAGCTGGAAACCATCATTCTCAGCAAACTAACACAGGAACAGAAAACCAAATGCCCATCAATGACAGACTGGATAAAGAAAATCTGGCACATATGCACCATGGCATACTATGCAGCCATTAAAAAGGAAGAGTGCATGTCCTTTGCAGGGACATGGATGAAGCTGGAAACCATCATTCTCAGCAAACTAACACAGGAACAGAAAATCAGACACCATATGTTCTCACTCATAAGTGGGAGTTGAACAATGAGAACATATGGACACAAGGAGGGAAACATCACATACCATGACTTGTCAGGGGCTGGGGGGCTAGAGCAGGGATAGCATTAGGAGGAACACCTAATGTAGATGAAGGGTTGATGGGTGTAGCAAACCACCATGGCATGTGTATACCTGTGTAACAAACTTCCACGTTCCGCACAGGTATCCCAGAACTTAAAGTATAATACAAAAAAAAAAGTATAATCCAGTTTATATTTTCAAGGTCAAAGTGGGTACAATGCTATCTATCTTGGGCTAAGACGAGAAAAGGAAAAATGCTTGCTTTAAATCTTAGAAGTCTGTTTTTTTGTTTGTTTGTTTGTTTTGTTTTTTTGTTTTCCCCCCATGTTTTGTACCCCATCTTCTTGGTCCTTCTAGATATATTTAAGTCTCACATAGGACTTGTTGTCTTTTCTACATTATCTCAAAATTTTAGCTCTTATCCTCATGATATGTGGCCATTTTGCTCAACTTTTATATTGAATGATTAGCAAAGCAGATCCTTTTATGTTCTCAATTTAACAAACAATGAAACACCAAACTAGGAATTTATTGCGATTCCTCAAACTGACATCATTCACTGATCAAAATAAAATGCATCCATAATATCTTAGAAAATTTACATGCCCTACTCTTAAAAAAAAAAAAAGCAAACTATTTTTAACCTTCAACGTGACATGCATTTGTTTTTAACTGTCTCAGTTTTATATAACCATATACTCAAGGTCTTTATCATTCAAGGTACAGGAAGGTCGTGCGTTTAATCTTGAGCATGGTTGTAGGAGATATGATTCACAGAGTAGAAAATAGATAAAAATAAGCATGCAGCCAGCATGGTGCCAAATCATCAGAACTCGCCATCTTATCAACAAATGGAAGTCATTCTTCTTTATTTCTTGAGCAAAGCAGTTTCATATAAGATAAATAGCTTTCAGTCAGAATAGCCTAACATGCAATATGCATCTTTTTGACATGTATATTCTAATACTACTCTAAACCGTAAGATTAAAATAAGAAAAATCTCAGGGTAGTGTATTGACAAGAAGCACTGGTTGAATCTGTATTTTTTTTTCCATTTTTCATCTCCCAGAATTTGGCTGTGTGTATGTTTGTACCTTACGGGCTGTCATTAAGTAATCAACTTCTAGTGACCTTCATGTATCATTTTCTAAAGTTTTATGCAGGGGAATAACTTCTGGGACATGTCCTTTTTATATCAAATATATATCAAATATCAAAAACCATTTAATGCTTTGGAGACACTATGTTTTGTTTTCAGAGACCAGGATATGGGCAGAACATGTTTCTAATAGATGTAAGAGACTGAATTATGGATTTGTGAGCTTGAAAAAGCCACTTAGCTACTGGATTTTCATCTTCTCATCTTGCAACGGAAGAATTTTGTGTCAGGTGTTTCTTTTTTTTTTTTTTTAATTACACCAGCTCTATAAATAATTTTACCGTCTATGAATAATTGTTCTTTTGTTAGCATAGAAAGGAGACAGGTGATGAGTGAGGTGGAATGAAAAAATTAAGGGATGCAAGCCTTTGGCACTGAACCCATCTTCCCTCTATGGGTCCCTGGGGACGCTGGTCATTGCTGAAAGTGCTGCTTGCCCAGGTTCCCAGCCCCTTCTCTCCACAAACCCTGTTGACAGGCAGCCATGGTAGCCTCTCATCTTTCACTTTCTGATATAGAAAACTGAACTAAAGCCCTAGAGACAATTGGTGAAGTAGCAAAAAACTTCAATTTTCAAATATTCATTGCTCTCCTATTGGCCAATTTGCACATGTGGAGGAGTTTATAGCAGACTCCCTTTGATTCAGTCTCCATCTCTGCACTCATCTAGCTGTTTGACTTCTTTGAAATTCATCTCCCAATTTTTTCCTCATCTGTAAATTGAGTAAAATACCTAGATGTGTGCTATTATGGAAGAAAAGCAATTATTTACAACCGTTCAAAAAATACTCTTCTCCTCCCTGTACTTCATGGCCAAATCATCTTGGAGAATATTGGCGATGACACTGGACATTGTCCATAATAAAACTCTATAGAATCTATTTCTAAGCCAAACATTGTTTAGTGAGGATCCATGTCTTAAAATGACAAGATGTGAAGGAAACTGACTCCTTTGCCTGAAAGAACTTACTATATCTGTTTATACTGATCAGTTTTGTCTTGACTTGAAATATTGATTAAATTGGCTACTTTCTGAAGTTTGAACTTTGTCTGCCTCTGTGACCACATCTCCCTCTCTTTTCCATCTCCCAGCCCCACACTTCAAAGAAAGCATGTGATAACCTAAGCCTGATGATAAAATCAGTCCTGCTGATGTCAAATTAGTTATGTCTGTGAAAGCTCTTGGAAAAGGATGATAAGAATAAAGTAAAAAACAATTTCTTAAAAAGTAAACTACTTTTCACTAGATAAAAAGCCAGTGTATAGGAAACATGTGCTCTGCCTCAATTTTGTGGGACTTATGAGAGACAGTATAGAATAACCCACAAAAGGACAATCAGGAGGTCTGGTCCCTAAAGAATGCTTTCCTCCCTCCTCACTCTCCATCTGGGCTGTTACTTGTAGTGTTAGAAAGTATAACATAGCAGCACATACACTGGGTTGGAATCCCAACTCTACACTTCACTAAGGGAGTGTTTTTAGACAAGTTACTTACTGTCTCAATTTCTCATCATAAAAATGAGGGCGGTACTGTCTAACTCAAAGATCTGGGGTAAGTACTCAAGAGAATAATCAGGAAAGACCCTGGCCCAGAGTCTTGCTCAGAGCACACATGTTTTAAAAAATGTAGTTAACAATTTCTAGTATTATTTTTACTACTGGGTGTGGTGGCTCATGCTTGTAATGCCAGCACTTTGGGAGGCCGAGGTGGGAGGATCACTTGAGGTCAAAAGTTCGAGACCAGGCTGGCCAATATGGTGAAACCCCATCTCCACTAAAAATACAAAAATTAGCCGGGTGTGGTGGCATGCCTATAATCTCAGCTACTTGGAGGCTGAGGCATGAGAATCGCTTGAACCCTGGAGGCGGAGGTTGTAATGAGCCGAGATCATGCCACTGCACTCCAACCTGGACAGCGGATTTAGACACCATCTCAAAAACTAATAATATTAATACTAATAATTATTTCTAGTAGTTGTATTTTTTGATAGAGAAGGCTGGATTTGATCATCTAAGTTCCTTTTCATCTTTAAAGTTAGACTTTCCCCATTTGGTTGCTCACAAAATACTCCTTGCGGAGTCTGGCGCACCCTAAACTCAGTGTTTGGGGACCTGACCAGATTTGGCAGGAAAGGCAATCTGGATGGATAATTATAAAAAATGAAAGCTATTCTATCGTTACAAGCCTGGTTGGTGTAGACAGTGTTCTGTAAATCTCCATGATCATTTCATCTTCAGTTAATACTTACAAATACAGAGAACCATCTCATACAATAAAAGTGAGTGCGGAATATTTTTGCAAGCTATTAGAACATTTTGAAAGAGTACTATAAACATGTACAAGATGTGACTATGTGGTAATGAAATGAATTTTCCTGTGTGGCATGAAGGCTCATTATCTTAAAGCCATGCTCTGCGCTGTTTTACAGAAGCCATGTGTGACGTTTCTCACTAATGGCTTATGCTGTTCCTAAATACTTGTCTCTAACTCCCTCAGTCTTTGGGAATGCAGACATCCACTTGCATGTAAATTAATACCTTTGCAGAATGGAAATGAGGCAGCCAGAAAAGTCCTTTCATTTCTTGAGTCCAATAAGGAAATAAGTTCCTTTTCCTAATTATATATTTGACCATAGTTACTGTTTTCAAACGTACATGGAAATACTCATTTTATGGGAAAGCATGCTTTCATGATCTCAGTAAATAAAACGGGGGCTTTGTTTCTCATGATTATACTATTTACACTAAACTGTGATTATCAGCTGGGGAGAAGAGTAGGTGTGCACACTTACTTTCTTCTTCGAGGAAGTTTTCAGCGGCTGATAGTAACCTTCTTCTGTCGTCTGGGTTTTCAATATTTAATTCAATGAGGTGACTCTCTTTTATATCCTTTAAATCTTCTAGAGTCTCATAACCATTGAGCAAAAGTGTTGAGGTATATTCCTGTGGGACAAAAAATATAATGCAAATTAGATTCAAATATTTTATTTCTAGTTCTCTTTAGATTTAAAGAAAGTATAGAGATGCATATAGGAACCAAAGGTGCCAATACAACTTTCGCTTAACTTCACTTGTATTCGTTTTTGACATATGAACTCCAGGGCTCTTCAATGGTTGTGTTGTGTAATTCTCGCCTTTTGGAAGGCCAAATGTAAAGAGGAATTAATTACCTTAAGCTATACAATTCCAAATCATGGATCAATTAAATAGTTGGATCATGCATCCCATTTGGAAATTTTTCACTTCTCAACTAACTGAATTGGCAGAACTAGCATTGCTTTAAGTCTGTCAATAAAATGCCTCTAGCAGAGTAGCATGCTACAGTTATATTTCAGAATCTACATCTCTTCTTGTTTTCATGATTGCAAAAGCATCTGCTCTCAAAATGTTCTTGGGGTAGGTTAAAAAATGAGTTTGAAACAGATGTAATTCTGTACAAAAAAGTGGGTGTAGCATTTTGGTTGAAAGGCATTATATAAACCAAAGGAATTCAAGACTTTCTACTTAATTGAAAACTTTTACTAAGCATAGAAGCACTGTAGTTGGGGCAAGAATTGTTTTCTCAGCATGTATATTTTGTTCATCATTGGAATCAATATATATTAGTTTAAAATTCATAGGTTTCTGATTTCAAAGTCTATATGTTATTGTGAAACTTCTTTTTTTTTTTTTTTTTTTTTTTTGAGACGGAGTCTCCCTTTGTCGCCCAGGCTGGAGTGCAGTGGTGCGATCTCGGCTCACTGCAAGCTCCGCCTCCGGGTTCACGCCATTCTCCTGCCTCAGCCTCCGAGTAGCTGGGACTACAGGCGCCGCCACCACGCCCGGCTAATTTTTTGTATTTTTAGTAGAGATGGGGTTTCACCGTGTTAGCCAGGATGGTCTTGATCTCCTGACCTCGTGATCCGCCCGCCTCGGCCTCCCAAAGTGCTGGGATTACAGGCGTGAGCCACCGCAACCGGCCTATTTTGAAACTTCTATCCTCTCGAACAAAATAAAAATATTAAATGAAGTTGAGTGCTTTTTCAGCTTCCTCAGATTCCTCCCTCATTTTACTTGATCTAATTTCAATATCCTTATTTTAATTACTAAAATAGAATAAGAGGAAGTCTAAAAGTTTTAAGTAATCAGGAAGAACTTATGACTAGCCCTTTTTAACAAAAAAAAAAAAAAAAGGGAAGAAAAGCAAGAAGAGTGACAATTCTTTCTTTAGAAAAGTATATTCTTAGCACTGAATTAGAATAAAGAAACACAAATTCCTGTTCTGACATATAACCATTTAACTGCGGGTTCTTGGGGAAGTCATTTCAGTCTCTTAGACTTTGGTTTTCTCACAGGTCACAGAACAAACAAGATGGCAGAGGCAAGGCGCTAACCCGTACATTCTCATAGGAATATCCCATTTGAGGTGCACCAATAGTAATATAAGAAGGCTTAGATACTGTGTGTACAGACAGGAACATAACTAGATAATTCAGAAAAAAACAATTAAGAAAAGTGTAATTGACTATTGTCTTGATGAATTTTGAAAACTATCAAAGTACTTCTCAGTTAATTTTAGAAATGGATTGCAAAACTGTAAATTGATTGATGCTAGATGTATTATATATACACACCATTTAACAAGGTAGATATTTCAAAAGATATTTGGTAATATAACAAGAAAATGATAATTGGGTTATAAATACAGAGAACACAGTTTCCTTAACACAATCATTATGGGGCTTGATGATCACCGTTTCCCTCAAATTATTTTAAAAATAATTACATTCAGTTATCTTCTCTCAACTTGATTTTGACCTCTGCTTTGTAGAAAATACATTTCTCTTTTCATTTTTCCTTTCACTTTTTTAGACTTACTTTATTCCTTATATTCTCTTTACCATTCTCATTTAGACATTTTATTAGGGCCTTTTATTCTCCTAGATATTTTTCATTGTTCATTGCATTTTCTCAACGTTCATCTCTATTGTCACTGCTAAATACTATTAAGGTATAGTCCAAGGGATATTAGATCAAGACTTGTCCTTGCATAAAAACATGTCATAAAGGAGAAATAAGAGCTCTTCTAGGAAAACAGGCTTTCCTTTGCTTCTAAGTCTTGTAACACAAATACTGATCCACTCCCTTCAATTTTTCCATTTACATGCCGCCAAAAGCAAACAGGACATAGATTTGCTCACCTGAAGATGAATCCTCTCTAGGAACTCCTGCAGAGTCTTGGATTTTTCATTGTTACTCCTTCGGTTTGCCTTTATTTTCTTGGGGGCTGCTTCCTCTTCTGAGATGACATCCACATAAATGAATTTGAAGTTTCCCACTTTATTGTTCAACATTCCCGTCCACATCCCCATTGGTGTTTTGCAGATAATGTCTATGATGTCTCCTTTCTAAGGACGAAGAAATCCATAAACATTAGGTTTCAGAGAACTATAGTGCTATAAAAATTGGTAGAAAGAATGAAATCATAGAAAACTAGGATAATGAGGACATTATGCTAAAGCGGTTCAGATATAACAGAAACAAATCTAAACATTCACTTCTTTCAAAAATTCAGGCTGGTGGCATGGTGGGTCATGCTTATAATCCCAGCACTTTGGTAGGCCAAGGCGGGAGGATTGCTTGAGGCCAGGAGTTTGAGACTAGCCTGGGTGACAAAGTGAGATCCCATCTCCACAGTTTTTTTTTCTTTTAATTAGCCTGGCATGGTAGCATGTATCTGTAGATTGAGGTAGGAGGAGTTCAAGGCTACAGTGAGCTGTAATCATGTCACTGCACTCCAGCCTGGGCAACACAGTGAGATCCCATCTTAAAAAAAAAACTCAAAGAAGTTATGTACTAGTTACAATGAAGAAAACTTCAACATTCTTGACAAAAAGCTCTCACATAGTTTGATGACATGTTTCTGTTTCTGTTATTGTATCAATTTATCAACTTATCACTGTAGAGCACAGTGTAATTTACAAAACACTTTTGCCTACTCTAAGTTATTTTTGCTCACAACACACCTCTTAGATACATAAAGGGGGTATCATCATTATTAATTTAAATATTACAGAAAAAGAAACAGAGATATTAAATGACTTCTGAAGAGCTTGCAGGAAGTTAACGGCAGAACCAGAACTCAAGTCCAAGTTATCTGAACTAAAAAATGATGCTCTTTTTATTTATACTGTCAAAGTAATATATATGTAACAAAGCTCAAATTATCATTCCTGGAAGTGCTCCCCAGCTGGGGAAGGAGATGAAAGAGAAGTCTGTTACTCTATGTATTTCTAGTGTATCTGAAAAATTTATCTACGGTATAAAATAAACCCATTTCAAGAATTTCATCCACCTAAAATAAAGAAATTTTGCAGAATGCACATAAAAGTATGTGTACACTAAGGATAAATTATGCTACTTAATTCCTTTTAAGGTATTCATGCTCTCCTCTTATTAAGAAGAGATAGCACTTAGATTGAGCTCACAGCAAAGTTTAGATTGAAGTGTGAATGAATCATATTAGTATGGACAAACCAATTGGTGTTTTTCTTTACTCACATCTAAGACCATAATTAACTATAGGCTGTCAGTTATTGGCAAGGGTAGAAAACCTCATGGGGATGTTTCTTTGTAAAGAAAAATTTATTTCTATGCAAATATGATGTCTATGTTCAAGAGTTATAGTTCCTCCTTTGAGACTTAAAACTTTCTGCCTCAGAGAGGACTTTACAGATTCTAATATTTTAGCCCCTTTTAAGTGTCTACCCTCAAACAAAGCATCAAGCCTGCTACTAAAAATACTTTTTTCTTGCTGCTCTGGGAATGTGTGTTCTTCCATCTAAAAAACAAATTTTATTTGTAATGGTATAATTCACGATGACTGAAATATCTGGTCTACCTTGTGATCATCTGTCTGTTTAGTCATGTGAACTGTTAGACTGGGTCCTTCTGCCTTTAACAAAAGGGAATCAAATCATAGGTTGGATGGTATCAGCTAGGTAGACTGAGAAGTTCTCCTGAAGCTCTAGAAAGTTGCTAGGCATGGAAACCCTTTACTGCATCCTTCCTATTATCCTTGAAACTTGTAAATTTGCAACTTTAGCCTTTACAGGTATATACCTGCACATTCCAGGAAAGCCCACAGGTCATCAGGCAAAGACTCAATTTCATTTTGGATAAGACCCTTGATGGAAATAATAGTATTTCAATTTTCATGGGTAACTGAGGAATTCCTACTGTGTCCTATAAGAGCTCCACAAAAACTCACCTCAGGCAGCAGCAGCAGTGGTACCCTGGCATGGTATTGTAGGGAAGTTGAAAGGCTATCCTGAGTCAAACTGTGTTGTGTTTATTTCCTTCTACTGCTCTCTCCCACAATGGTTACTAGGTTATGGGTATCCTTTCCCCAAGACTTGAACTTAGACATCAGATCATTCCATATACATAACTAAGGAGCTTAGTATGGGGAACAGTGCATTTTTTATTCTCCAGTTGAGCTTACTCTGATTTAATAGCATAGAAGGGATCAAGAGAAGGGCTGAAGACTTTAAATGTTAAATAATAATATAAATACTCCATAATATATCATAATTATTAGTTAACATTGGTTTAGTGTTAACAATATAGAACATTCATACTTTATGTCCTTTGACTTTTAGCACTTTGTGATACTAGAAAGGAATAATTTAACATCTATGAATTCTTTTAGCACAAAACCTTCTGTTTGTGCCATTGTAACCGACCCCTCTCCTTGAGTGTGAGCAGGATTATGAAAATGATGGATTTCACACTCATGATTATGTTACCCTTATATGATAGGGGGGACTTTGCAGATCCAATTAGGGTACTGAGTTATTTGATTTTGAATTAACTGAAAGGGAGATTATCTTGGTGGGTGTGACAAATCAGGTAGGATCCCTTAAAATAAAGATTAAAGCCTGAGTGAGCTTTTTCCTGCTCATCCTGAAAGAGCAAACTGCTGTATTGTAGAGAGGGCTCTGGCTGGTGGAATCTAGAGGCTGAGAATGGCCTCCAGTTGACATCCAGCAAGAAAATGGGGTCCTCAGTCCTACAACCACAAGGAACTGAATTCTGCCAACAGCCAGTGAACTCAGAAGAGAACCTGAGCCTCTGTTGAGATCACTGCTTGCTTAGAATTCAACTGAGCCATGCCCACAATTATGACCTATAGAAACTGAGCTAACAATACATTTGTGTTGTTTCATGCCTCTGAGTTTGAGGTAATGTGTTACACAGCAATAGAAAATGAATACAGAGGATAAGAAGAGGGAATTCAGGAGGGAATATCACTGGGAGAAAGGTCTCTGGTTACTCATAGCAACCAACTTAAAAAGTGCTAGACATTTCCGGGGCATCATGGCAGACGGGAGGCAGTACCAGGTTGCAGCTCCAACTCGAGCAGACAAAGGAGTGTGTGGACACTCACATCATGAACTTTTGCTTCAGAACGATTGCAGAAATAACTCAGGAAACCTGGGAGGACTCACAGACCCCCTGAAGGAAGTGGATTCCTCCTTCAGTAAACAGGAGACAACCCAAATACTGTGCTGGTATCCACAGTTGAGAGGCCCACAGACAGTTAACATCACAAGACTCTGTGCAGACAACCCTTAGTACCAGTCTAGAGCCTGGTAGACTTGTTGGGTGGCTAGCTGTAGAAGAGAGGTAACAATCATTACAGATCGCTCTCAGGAAGCCTCATCCATAGGAAAAGGGGGAGAGTACTACATCAAGGGAACACCCCGTGGGACAAAAGAATCTGAACAACAGCCTTCAGCCCTAGACCTTCCCTCTGACAGAGTCTACCCAAATGAGAAGGAGCCAGAACACCAACTCTGATAACATGACAAAACAAGGTTCTTTAATACCATCAAAAAGTCACACTAGCTCACCAGCAATGGACCCAAACCAAGAAGAAATCCCTGATTTACCTTAAAAAGAATTCAGGAGGTTAGTTATTAAACTAACCAGGAGGCACCAGAGAAAGGTGAAGTGCAATGTAAGGAAATCCAAAAAATGATACAAGAAGTGAAGGGAGAAATATTCAAGGATAGATAGCATAAACAAAAAACAATCAAAACTTCAGGAAACAATGGACACACTTATAGAAATGCAAAATGCTCTGGAAAGTTCCAGCAATAGAATCGAATAAGTAGAAGAAAGAAATTCAGAGCTCGAAGGCAAGGTCTTTGAATTAATCCAAACCAACAAAGACAAAGAAAAAAGAATAAGAAAATGTGAACAAAGCCTCCAAGAAGTCTAGGATTATATTAAATGACCAAACATAAGAATAATCAGTGTTCCTGAGGAAGAAGAGAAATCTAAAAGTTGGGAAAACATACTTGAAGGAATAATCAAGGAAAACTTCCCTGGCCTTGCTAGAGATCTAGACATCCAAATACAAGAAACACGAAAAGCACCTAGGAAATTCATTGCAAAAGGATTATTGCCTAGGCACATTTTCATCAGATTATCTAAAGTTGAGACAAAGGAAAGAATCTTAAGAGCAATGAGACAAAAGGATCAGGTAACCCATAAAGGAAAACCTGTCAGATTAACAGCAGATTTCTCAGCAGAAACCCAACAAACTAGAAGGGATTGGGACCCTATCTTCAGCCTCCTCAAACAAAACAATTATTAGCTAAGAATTTTGTATCCAGCGATATCAAACTTCATATATGAAGGAAAGATACAGTATTTTTCAGACAAACAAATGTTGAGAGAATTCGTCACTACCAAGCCACTAAAAGGAGCTCTAAATCTTCAAACAAATCCTGGAAACACATTGAAACAGAACCTCTTTGAAGCATAAATCTCACAGGACCTATAAAACAAAAGTACAATTTAAAATGCACACACACACACACACAAAATGTATGCAGGCAACAAAGAGCATGATGAATGGAATAATACCTCACATCTCAATACTAACATTGAATTAAATAGCCTAAATTATCCACTTGAAAGTTACAGAATTGCAGAATGGATAGGATTTCACAAACCAACTATCTGCTGCCTTCAAGAGACTCATCTAACACATAAGGACTCACATGAACTTAAGGTACAGGGGTAGAAAAAGACATTTCATGCAAATGGACACCAAAAGTGAGCAGGAATAGCTATTGTCATATCAGACAAAACAAACTTTAAAGTAACAGAAGTTAAAAACGACAAAGAGGGACATTATACAATGGTAAAAAGGCCTTGTCTAGCAGGAAAATATCACAATCCTAAACATGTATGCACCTAAGACTAGAGCTCCCAAATTTGAAAAACAATTACTAATAGGACTAAGAAATGAGATAGACAGCAACATACTAATAGTGGGGGGACTTCAATACTCCAATGACAGCACTAGACAGGTGATCAAGACAGAAAGTCAACAAAGAAACAATGGACTTAAATTATACCCTGGAACAAGTAGACTTAACAGATATATACAGAACATTCTGTCCAACAACCTCAGAATATACATTGTATTCAACAACACATGGAACTTTCTCTAAGATAGACCCATATGATAGGCCATAAAATGAGTCTCAATAAATATAAAACAATTTAAATTTATCAGGCACTCTTTCAGTCTACAGTGGAATAAAACTGGAAATTAACTCCAAAAAGAACCTTCAAAACCATGCAAATACATGATCCTTGGGTAAAAAATGAAATCAAGATGGAAATTAAAAAATTATTTGAACCGAACAACAATAGTGACATGACCTACCAAAACCTCTGGGACACAGCAAAGGTGGTGCTAAGAGGAAAGCTCATAGCCCTAAACACCTACATCGAAAAGTCTGAAATAGTCCAAACGGACAATCTAAGGTGACACTTCAAGGAAAGAGAGAAACAAGAACAAACCAAACTCAAAAACAGCAGAAGAAAGGAAATAACCAAGATCAGAGCAGAACTAAATAAAATTGAAACAAAAACAATACAAAAGATAAATGAAACAAAAAGCTGTTTTTTGAAAAGATAAACAAAATTAATAGACCATTAGTAAGAATTCAAATAAGCTCAATAAGAAATGAAACAGGGGATATTACAACTGACACTACAGAAATACAAAAGATCATTCAAGGTTACTATGAACACCTTTACATGCATAAAGTAGAAAACCTGGAAAACATGGATAAATTCCTGGAAAGATACAACCCTCCTAGCTTAAATCAGGAAAAATTAGATACCCAGAACAGACCAATAACAACCAATGATATTGAAATGGCAATTTAAAAATTACCAATAATAAAAAACTTGAGGACCAGACCGATTCAGACCAGAATTCTATCAGACATTCAAAGAAGAATTGGTACCAATCCTATTGACACTATCCCACCAGACATAGAAAGAAGGAACCTTCCCTACATCATTCTATGAAGCCAGTATCACCCTAATACCAAAACCAGGAAAGAGGATAACCAAAAACTACAGACCAATATCCCTGATTAACATAGATGCTAAAATTCTTAACAAAATACTAGCTAACTGAATTCAGCAACACATCAAAAAGATAATCCACCATGATCAAGTGAGTTTAATACCAGGGATGCTGGGATGCCTTAACATATGCACGTTAATAAATGTGATACACCACATGAACAGAATTAAAAACAAAAATCACATGACCATCTCAATAGGTGCAGAAAAAGCATTAGACAAAATCCAGCATTTCTTCATGATTGAAACTCTCAGCAAAATAGGCATACAAGGGACATACCTCAATACAATAAAAGCTATCTATGACAAACCCACAGTCAACATAATACTGAATGGCAACAAGGTGAAAGCATTCCTTTTGAGAACTGGAACAAGATAAGGATGCCCACTCTCACCATTGCTCTTCAACACAGTACTGGAAGTCCTAGCCAGAGCAATCAAAAAAGAGAAAGAAATAAAGGGCATCTAAATCACTAAAGAGGAAGTCAAACTGTCACTGTTTTCTGATGATATGATCATTTACCTAGAAAACCATGAAGACTCTTCCAGGAAGGTCCTAGAACTGATAAAAGAATTCAGCAAAGTTTCTGGATACAAAATTAATGTACACAAATCAGTAGCTCTTTTATACCCCAACAGCGATCAAGCTAAGAATCAAATCAATAATTCAACCCCTTTTACAATAGCTGCAAAAGCAAAACAAAACAAAGCAAAACAAAAAAACAACTTTGGAATATACCTAACTAAGGAGGTGAAAACCTCCACAAAGAAAACTACAAAGCACGGCTGAAATAAATCAGAGATGGCACAAACAAATGGAAACATGTTCTATGCTCATGGATAGGTAAATCAATATTGTGAAAAGGACCATACTGCCAAAAGCAATCTACAAATTCAACAGATTTCCCATCAAAATACCACTATCGTTCTTCACAGAATTAGAGAAAACAATTCTAAAATTCATATGGAACCAAAAACGAGACTGCATAGCCAAAGCAAGCTTGAGCAAAAAGAACAAATCTGGAGGCATCACATTACCTAATTTCAAACTATACTATAGGCTATAGTCACCAAACCAGCATGGTACTACTACAAAAATAGGCACATAGACCAATGGAACAGAAAAGAGAACCCAGAAATAAATCCAAATACTTAACAGCCAACTGACTTTTGAAAAAGCAAACAAAAACATAAAGTGGGGAAAGGATACCCTTTTCAACAAATAGTGCTGGGATAATTGGCTAGCCATATGTAGGAGAATGAAACTGGATCCTCAACTCTCACCTTTTACAAAAATCAACTCAAGATGGATTAAGGACTTAAATCTAAGATCTGAAACTATAAAAATTCCAGAAGATAACATTGGAAAAACCTTTCTAGACATTGGCTTAGGCAAGGATTTCATGACCAAGGACCCAAAAGCAAATGCAATAAAAACAAACAAAAATTGCTGAGACTTAATTAAACTAAAGAGCTTTTGCATGGTAAAAGAAACAATCAGCAGAGCAAGCAGACAACCCACAGAGTGGGAAAAAATTTTCACAATCTATACGTCCGACAAAGGACTAATATCCAAAATCTACAATGAACTCAAATCAACAAGAAAACAAACAAACAATCCCATCAAAAAGTAGGCTGAGGACATGAATAGTCAAGTCTCAAAAGAAGATTCACAAATGGCCAACAAACACATGAAAAAATGCTCAACATCACTAATGATCAGGGAAACGCAAATCAAAACCACAATGTGATACCACCTTACTCCTGCAAGAATGGCCATAATCAAAAAATTTAAAAATTGCAGATGTTGGCATGGATGTAGTGAAAAGGGAACACTTCTACACTGCTGGTGGGAGTGTAAACTAGTACAACCACTATGGAAAACAGTGTGGAGATTCTTTAAATAACTAAAAGTAGAACTACCATTTGATTCAGCAATCCGACTGCTAGGTATCTACGCAGAGGAAAAGAAGTCATTATACAAAAAAGATACTTTCACACACGTTTGTGGCAGCACAATTTGCAATTGCAAAAATGTGGAACCAACTCAAATGCCCATCAATCAATGAGTGGATAAAGAAACTGTGGTATAGGCTGGGCGTGATGACTCATGCCTGTAATCCCAGCATTTTGAGAGGCTGAGGTGGGTGGATCACAAGGTCAAGAGATCTAGACCATCCTGGCCAACATGCCGAAAACCCATCTCTACTAAAAATACAAAAATTAGCTGGGTTGTGGTGGCCTCCAGCTACTTGGGAGGCTGAGGGAGGAGAACTGCTTGAACCCAGGAAGCAGAGGTTGCAGTGAACCAAGATCGTGCCACTACACTCCAGCCTGGTGACAGAGCAAGACTCCATCAAAAAAGAAAAGAAAAGAAAAGAAAACCATGGTGTACATATATATACAATGGAATATTACTCAGCTATAAAAAGGAATGAATTAATGGTATTTGCTGTGACCTAGATGGGACTGGACACTATTATTCTATGTAAAGTAACTCAGGAATGGAAAATCAAACATCACATGTTCTCACTCATAAGCAAGAGCTAAGCTATGAAGATGAAAAGGCATAGGAATGACCCAATGGACTTTGGGGACTTGGGGAAAGGATGAGAAGGTGGTGAGGGATAAAATACTACAAATAGAGTGCAGTGTATACTGCTTGGGTGATGGGTGCACCAGAGTCTCACAAATAACCACTAAAGAACTTACTCATGTAACCAAACACCACCTGTTCCCCAATAACCTATGGAAATAAAAATAAAAAAAGTACTGGAATTTCCCGGCCACGTCTGGTTCCCAAGGCCTTTGCTCTGCTGGGCTCTTGCCTGACATTTGCACCTTTTCTCCCTCTCTCTTCATTATTTCTATTCCTGCAAGTATCAGGCAGAGTTGAGCACCTTCAGCAACTGTGAGGCTTTGGTTTTCAGGAAAATGGAGAGAATTCTTTCCTCCCTGATAGACTCTGAACCTGAATCATCTACATAATAACAACTTACACTAATAGCCTGAACAGACTGATACCCCGCCTCCACCTCACATATTTTATTCAAATTCTTAGCACTGTAAGCGAGCCTCCACTTCTACTGTTGGGAAGAACACACTCACACTCTGTTCTCCCACTGCTTATACTTGCTGAAACAGATCATATAATCTGCATTTGACAAACCATTCAGAAGGGGGGATATGATGTCCTCTCACCTTGATTTTGAGGGAGTCAGTGTCATAGGGACTTGGCGTGAAATCCGTATGCACTCTGGCGCGACCGCAGAATGGTCCTGAATAGGGGCCATCGTCATCCAGTCGAAAGCTGTCCCGGTTACTCGTACCATCTGAACAGCTTGTTACGCCACCTGATGAAAGCAGAAGTTCGCAGTTGTCATTGAAGACTTGTAACATTCTGGACCATCATCTGGACACAACTAAGTATTGATCATGCTGGACCGCTGGATGCCAGGCTCAGGAGGAGGTTCTAATTGACCCATCCTGGTGTCCCTCTCCCAGTTGGTCTCAGTCAGTGACGTCTGTCCTCTGAGTCATTTCTAACCTTTTTCCTGACGATCTGGCCACTCTCTCCTCTACCACCAACCCAAGTACCCTCTCACTTCATTCTCCATAATCTGACCCAGGACACAGTGTACTAAGTATTGGACACTTGCCAAAAGCATGACATTACAAAGTTCCCTGCAACTTATCACAAGACTTCTTCCCCAGAGTTCCCACTGTGTACCAAAGGCCATTCTGAGGCCATATTTTTGACATAACAGGTGGCACGTTTGCTTGTTGTATGAGTGTAAGGGAAGGAGAAAGTGTGTCTGAATGTCTGCACCACCATGTGGTTTGAAACTTCTAAACTGGGCCTTTAAAACTGTTCCAAATCCTTGTCTGCTCCTCTTATTTTTGATCTTAAACTTCAGGAAAAAGAGAAAAGAGAGCATTTTGTCACCTCCCTTGGAACAAGAATAGCTCCCAGTGGAAGTAACTCTCCTCCCCCACCCTCATACTCAGTCATCACTTCATGTCTTCCTTCAGTCTAACCTTTCGTCACTCTGTTCAATGAGGGAATAGCCCACGTTTCACTACCACGCATTGTGGAAATAAGGTAAAGCTCCTTCAAGATGCTCCATATTGTATGTGAAGTGATGTAAAACACAGATGAGTTGTATCTAATCACACAAATTAAGTGGTATACGGTAATAGTAAAATGAACCACCATCTCTTCACACCTTCCCTTCCATGACAACTCCAGACCACAGCTTTTCACAGTCCATTCTAGTGAAAATTCTCCCCACATCCAGCATCACAATATAGAGTTTTAAAACTTCCAGCAGAAATGAATACTAATGAGATCTGAATTTCATACGTGCAAAAAAATTCTTTAAATGTTTCTGTGTTAGCTTTTGTCACAAAATATCTATTCTACAGCCAATAGGAAAATAGGAATAAAACTCAGGATATTTGAAACATCTGGTCTTTGCCATACATGTTCAAATAACAGAAGCAGTTGATTTAAAAGGAAATGGAAAATAAACTTTGCAAAAACATTTAAAAGCCCTGAAAAGATTAGAGAGATGTATAACAGTTTACATATAAAAAGTCATAAGGCACCCTGCAATATCAATCGTTTCATCCAAATATTGTAGCTGGAAATGTGACTAAATCCTGAGTGATTTCCTTCTTAGAAAAAATATTGATCTTCATTAGAAAATCCTTGTTGGTTACTTATGGATCCCGTTTTGTCACCTAATAGTGATAGTCCTATCATTTATTATTTGCATATTGCTTCACTCTTTACTCGTTCATGCTGGGTTAAGATCTAAAAAGTAAATGTCAGTAAAGTAAATTGATGCAAATGTGCTACATTTTTCAGAGTACTTCAGGAAAAAAGGAAAGTGGTGGGGGGAGAAAGACAGGGACAGAAGGAAGAGGGAGGGAGAAAGAAAGAGACAGAGAACAGAACAGAAAATAAATTTCATTTATCTGAATACTTCAAGTCATTTTTAAATATTTCAGCTCAAGATAAAGCTGGCTCCCTCCAACAAGGATTTTTATTTTAAAGATGCATATTTAATCTCCTAATATGACTTTTTTGAGGCATATCCCCAAGAGCCCCTTTGACTACAGTGTTAAAAGTGTTAACACAGTATATACCTGTGTCAAATATATTATGTATTATTTAAACACCAGCAACTCTATATAGATTTAATATATCTTACATTTTTACCATTTCTCTTATCAAGTAGCTGGAACCTTGTTGCTAATTTAACTTGTTGTTTTTTAATTGATTTAACCCGGACCTCACACCCAGGATCTCATCCCTGATTCATTAGCCTTACTTGATGAGCTCTGTCCACTGTAGAGACTATCCATGGAGTCACTGGCTTTGAGGGACACCTTCTCTGTGTGGGTCCCAATCACAGGGTCACTGTTTCTATATGGGTGGGCATTCTCTCCATCTTCCTCATCCTTCAGAAAACATATCAGAGGTTAGGTACAGAGAGAAGATTTCCACAGAGATGTTCATTGTGTATATTGATTTAACAGGCAAGACATATTTTAGCAATAAAATACTTAAGGATACATAAGGATAAAATACGAAAGTAGTTAATCTTCAGTTCAATTTCTAGCAAAACCTTTTACAATATACTTGGAAATATTATTCAGATGACACATTCTTTTTGTAGAATTCAGTTGAAATTATAATGGCTCATTTTTACAAACTAGGATGAATATCATATCAATATTATTTAATCAAAAGTGTTAGATTTATTGACATCTATGGTTTATCTTTTAAAGCACTTTTGCTTCTTCATGTTGTCCTTATCCTTTATTTAACACCATTACTAATCCATTGAGATCTGATCCTACAAGCTTAAACTCTGCATAGTTGTTTCATGTCAGTTATTTGCACCCTACCAGATCACTAGATATGAATAAAACATGTGCATTTTGCAATTCTAAAGCAAAGCTTATCTAAGAAGCTTTACAAATCTAATACCGTGCTTGCCACCTAGTCAAGTGAGAAGCAAATCTTGCATAAAATTAGAAAAGACAGACAATTTCAAAACAAATTATATTTTCTTGAAAACATCTCCAATGTTTTCCATATTTCAATAGTTTGGATTAAACTTATGAATTTCTTAATATTCATCAGAATGTAATTCAACATTTTTTATTTGTGAGCATTTCTAAACATTGATAAAACTTCAGAAATACATATGATATACACTCAGTTTGATTCTCCACTTTTATCCATTTCTTTATTCATTCAGTCATTCAACACAATTTTATGGAACACCTCCTAGGTACTGGGCAATGTTCTGGGAACCAGGGATTTCCATGGTAAACAAGATAACATAGTGCTTGCTATAATGAAGGATATTCTATTGTGTTAGCTGTGTGTGTGTGTGTGCGCGCGTGCGTGTGTGTGTGTCTGTGTAGAGTATTTGGGGAGGTGTGTATAAACACAATAAGACAATTTCAGAGAATAGTAAGTGTTATGAAAGACATAAAACTGGGTGATGTGAGAGAATTTGTTGCTGAGGTTAGGGTTACAGGTTGGCTGATTTAAATGGAATATCCTACAAAGACCTCTGCCATACAGTAACATATGCCCTGAATTATTGACCTAAATGATAAGAAAATGTAACTTATGTGAAGCTTTGGAGACAGTTTTCCAAGCAAAAGGAACAGCAAGAGCAAAATAATTGAACTCAGAATTATCTTGGGTTGTGCAGGGGAAAACAGCAAGGCTAATGTAGTGAGACAAAGGAGAATATTAGAGTGTGAGTTTAGAGAAGCAGACTGGAGCCACATCAAGAAAAGCTTCATAGACCATGTGTGGTGGCCATGGAAATGTGCCACTTAGATCTCTTGCTGCGGGGTCCCTTCTTTACTGACAGCCCCAGGACTACCCCTCTGTATCCATCACTCCGTTGGCACTAAAGCCATGCTCCCTGTTAGTAACTGAAAAAGCAGGGGTATGGTTTGAGCCCATTCTAGTGGAATGTGGGGTTCCTGTAATGGAAAACTTTAGTATAACAATCCCCCATCAATCTGACCAAAGCTTTCTCAGAATTCTGCTGAAGTATGAGACTCTCTCTACCTGATTCTTCTTCCTTTTCCTTATCCTTTTATAGATGTCAGGTGTGCATTGCAGTCTAAAGGCTTTCTCTTAAGCCTTCCTAGCATTTCTTCCCATAAATCTGTCTGTGGTGTTTCTACTCCTTTCTTGGGATCTGCTTCTCAGAGGACTAGAATGAACACAGCAAGTAAAGGGGTGCACTATGAAGACACTGAAATTTTAACCATGACCTGATTTCCACTTGTCAGAGATATTTCTGGATTTCATACGGAGAATAAATTTTATGGGGGAAAGAATAAAAAGAATGGAAAGCAGTTACGGGATTATTATAATAATCCAGGAAAGAAAGGTTGGTGACTTAGTCTAAAGCAGGAATAGTTTACATGGAGAAATTAGGGAGTTTATATATACTTGGTAATACAATTCAGATAATTTACTGATGAATTAGTGTGAAAAGTGAGAAAAAGAAGGAATTTAGGGTGATTCTTAGTTTTTCTTTTCTTTCTTCCTCTTTTTTATATTTTTGCTTTTATTTATTTTGAAGATCAGTGTTGTCTGCTGCCACTGGGAATACTGGATGAGAAAACCATTTTTTTGGTAAAAGTGTAGAGAATCAATATATTAGCTTTGGATCTATTAGGTTTTGGATGTCTACTGGACAGCTAAATGAGGATATCAAAGAAACAATTGATTGTATTAATACGGCAGATAAGTGAAGAGGTCATAGCTAGAGATACAGTTGTGAAAAACGAAGTCATGAGAGCAGATGAGCTGACTTAAGGGGAGAGTGTAGATTCAGTGGTGCATCCAGGAACAAGCCTCAGGAAGATCAGATGTTTCGAGGGATGAGAAAGAAAGCAGAGTCAAGAAAGGAAGCTATGAGGAAAAAGAAATGTCAGAAGCATGCCCAGTCAAAAACAAGAGAAGTGGATGTTTTATATGTAAGAAAATCAGCACTTGAGTCAAATACAGTTGAAAAGTAGTAAGGAGAAAGAAAAGTGACCATTGGACTTGGCAACACAGAGGTCACAACTGATGGTGACAGCTATTTTAATGGAGTACTGGGGACAAGCCCTATTGACGTGGGTTGAAAAAGAGAATGGACATAAGACATAAAAATCAATAACGTAGAATTGAGAGCCCATAAGTAAACCCACTTATTTATGATCCATATATTTATGACAATATATTTGTGGTCAACTGATTTTAACAAGAGTGCCAAGACAATCAAATAGGGAAAGAATAGTCTTTTCAACAAATGCTTTTAGGACAACTGTATATCTACATGCAAAAGAATGAAGGTGGACTCTTCCTACATACTATACAGTAAAATTATCTTGAAATAAATCATACACCAAAATTTAAGAGATTATTGGCCTCTTAGAAAAAAAATAGGAATAAATCTTCATTACATTAAGTTAGACAATGGTTTCTTAAATATGTTACCAAAAGCACAAGTGACCAGAAAAAAGATAATTGGACTACAATAAAATTAGAAACATTTGTGCTACAAACAATACCATCAAGAAAATAAAAACACAGTCCACAGAATTGGAGAAAATACATTATATTGCAAGTCATATATCTGATAAAATCTTGCATCCGGAATATATAAAAAACATTTAAAACTCAACAATAAAAAGATAAATAACCCAATTAAAAATGAACAATGGATTTGAAAAACACTTCTCCACAAAGATAGATAAATGACTAAAAAGCACATGAAAAGATTCTCGACATTGTTAGTCATCAGGGAAATGTAAAGTACAACCAAATATAAATCAAAATCACAATGAGATTCCACCTCACATCCACTAGAATGCGTAGTACTAAAAAGACAGACAATAACAAGTGTTGACAACAATGTAGAGAAATTGAAATCCTCATACATTGCTGGTGGGAATGTAAAATGATGCAGCTGCTTAAAAGACAATTTGCCAGTTTCTCTATTAGACATGGAGTTACCATATATCCAAGAGAAATGAAAAAATATTTCTGCACAAAAAATTGAACAGAAGTATCTGTAGCAGTGTTATTCATAATAGCCAAAAAGTGAAAGCAACCCAAGTGATCACTAAGTGATAAATGGATAAATTAAATGTGGTCCATCTATGAAAGGAGAAATATTATTTGGCAATAAAAAGGAATGACATACTGTCACTTGCTACAAAAATAAGGACATGTTGTTCTTCACATTGCTCTTCACATCACATTCTAGATGCATGATTTTTTTTTTTTTTTTTTTTTTTTGAGACACAGTCTTGCTCTGTTGCCAGGCTGGGGTACAGTGGCGCAATCTCGGCTCACTGCAACCTCTGCCTCTGGGTTCAAGTGATTCTCCTTCCTCAGCCTCCCGAGTAGCTAGGGCTACAGGCGTGCACCACCATGCCCAGCTAATTTTTGTATTTTCAGTAGTGACGGGGTTTCACCATGTTGGCCAGGCTTGTTTTGAACTCCTGACCTCAGGTGATCTTCCCGCCTCAGCCTCCCAAAGTGCTGGGATTACAGGCATGAGCCACCACACCCGGCCAATGCATGATCTTTCTGAGTGTCAGTTTCTTCTGTTAAAATGAAAGTAATACTTCCTTCCAGCCAACTTCTGGGCATAATGACTGAGGAAGAAAACAAATGCTTAAGTACTTCATGAAGTACCAAGCACTTCTATACTCTAGCTGAATAGTTTAAGAAAGTTTTAGTAGAAAAATACAAATGATTATCAGAGAATATTTACCTTTTCCTCAGAAAGGGCTTTGATGTACTTTTTACCAACTTTTTTCTTCATTGTCCATGAAATAGCTCTCATTTTTTTACCCAAACCTCCTCCATTATTTGAAGCTTTACTTGGTTCTCCACCTTCATTTGTGGGATCTCCTTCATGTACCTAGTTTAGAATTTTTACAAAAGACAAAATAATAAAGGAATAAAAAATACTGATCTGAAATCATTGTTACAGAGAACATTCTGAGTCTGTGGACTTCGCATACATTCTGTGCAGCAGCCTCCAAAATTTCTAAAAATCTGGACATAACCCATATTTTTAAAGTTGTCCAGGCCTGGTTGCTTGAGTTACAAACTCAGAAAGTAAAACTTGTGATGTTAAAGGACTTGAGCCTCACATCTGCAACTCTTTTAGAGAATTTCGGCTATTTTTTAAATAGCTGTATTGACCAATCATTTTATTCCCTCTTCTTGAGATGAACAAATAAGATTAAATACTAGGTATAAGGAGTTCTTATGTCTACATAGGTGAAAAATATTTTATTGGAAGCTTTAGATAGGCTGGAGCATCTATCCGTGTTGAATAGACCTTAAAATACCCTCTTGCTTCTCATAGAAATTGAGATGATTGTGGTTAAAGAAGTTTTCGTGTTAATTAAATCCACTGAGAAATGCTAGAGTTTGTTTTCATCTTAGCGTGCACATTTCCCATATTGTCAAGCAATAGTATATATGAACTAGTTCCAGCCATTAGTACAGAAATCTTCATGTAATTCACATGCTAGATTAATCAAACATCTTATTTGGTTGGACTGCTTTGGTCTTTGCTTAGGAATGCTGTTAAACCAATGACTCAGAATAAACCACACTGTTCACAGCCACAAGACTCTATATATCATAACATAAAATAATGTTCTGTCAATATCATTCATATATTATGTGATATATGTTACATTATATAGAATCTATATGAAATAAAATATCCTCACCACCCACCTTGCCCCTCGCTACTTCTCAAGTCTCCCTTACTCACTAGAGCAGTGGTTCTCAAAATATGATCCCTGGACCAGCAGCATCAGCATCACTTGGGAGCAGTTTGTGCCTTAGCAAGCTCTTCAAGTGATTCCGATACTCACTAAAGTTTGAAAACAACTGTAATAAAGTATTGCCATGCTAGCCCCCTTGCAGTTTCTCTATCGGGTTCTCACCAAGTTTGTATTTGCTTTCGCCATTGGCTTCCCCTAACTATCCAAGAATTTCTTCCTTCAGTCATCCAGGTATCTACTCACATGGCATATAATAGGAGAGCAATTTTCTGATTGATCACCCTCCACACTTCCATATGTCCTGTTTATTGGCCCCGATTAATGATTCCTCTAAGCAGTTAACATTACCCGATAATATGTTGGTTCATTTCATTATTGTCTGCATCTCCCACTATGATGCATGTTCCATGAGACTTGAGACTTGAGACTTGATCTGTTTTCTTTGAGTGTCTAGAGTACTTCCAGGCACATAGCTATCACTTGATATTGTTTCAGTAAATGAAACTTCTCATGTAGAACATTGCAGATTTTTTTTTTCTTGGAGGATATGTTTGGGTTACAAGTCCTAAAATACCTTATATTTGCAAGAAAGGAAACTTGAAGGACATCTAGTTTAACACTGTCCACAATTCCTGATAGGTGGACAGGTAGTCAAGTCATTCACTGAATATAAAAAATGATGGGAAACTTCCCTTTAGTGAACTTGAATATTTTAATGCAAAAGTTTAACCACATAGTTAACATCATTATTAATCAATATTATATTTTGCTTCATATCTTACCCCAAATTGCCTATGATAAATATGAATGGACAGCCAATTTAAACCCTCATTGCACTTTATTAATTTCTACATTCAAGGTTATAAAGGCAAAGATTCTTTGCTTAATTCAAAAACCCTGAATAAAATATAATTTGGAAGCACTTTAAAACTTTAGAGTTAGCCTTTTTCTTCTCTCTTCTTAAACTTTCTCTGTCTTCATTGTAAATTTGTTTTTCTAACATAAATAAGAAATATATTATTTAATTACTACTGGTGTTACCCTAGAATTTCTAAGCTTCAGAAAGATGTACTATGAATATTTTTTCTGGTTTTTCTAGCATTATTTACAGAAGCTACAAAGAAACTACGTTTATGTCTTTTGAATGTTCACATTTTTCTATGCCTTTCTCCATAGACTGAATTAAATTTCTGTTTAAATATTACTTATGGTTTTGTTGTTGTCTTTTTAAGATTTGTCTTCCCCTATAAGCTCCAGGCATGAAGTAAGGATTTTATTGTGTTATTGCAACAGTACTTCCTGAGTGTCTAACGGAAAATCTGTCATAGAGTGGGTATTTTTTGAATGAATGCTGGATTTTTGAAAAATATGCACACTATTTTATTAGGTTCACTAAATTCTTTCACAAATTACTAGGCCACCATTATTAACCAATGAACCTGAATGAACATGAGCTATCTTGTATAGGTTAATACCAGAATTATAAACTAAACAGCAGTGGAATATATGTATGATTGTGGAGAATTAAAAATGTATACAAGATGCCAACTGAAAATAAAATTATATACAGTTTCTCTCTCTTTCCATATATATATACACACACACAAACACATGTATGTGGCTAGAGAGATTTACATGTATATATTACATTTATTACTCACCATTATGTAAATGTTGATTGACTATATAATTACGTACAAGTTTACTCATAAATGTGAATATATACATAATAAATTAATAAAAGGAATCATTATTAATATTACAATATTTTAAAATATTGCAGGTAAATATATTTGAAAATAAGCATAAGATCTAAAAACCTATTGATCTAAAAAGAATATATTACCTGTGAGGTTGCTGAATCAGGTTCAATGGTAAACAGTATTTTCAGTTTTCTTAGTAGACACCCCTTCTCTGTACTATTTTATTAGCTGTTGTTGTACCTGTCATTAATCACTTAGCAAATGTGGCCCCTACTTTATGAGACAATATGGCAAACTTTGGAGTTAGAGAAGAGGTTGAGTTCTGCCTTTGTCATTTACTCACTCTGTAATTTAGAAGTAATTTTATTTGATGAAGCAAGCATATTTCTGCAATGGCAAAATAGATATACTAATAGTTCCTATGTTATAGACAGGTAAATTGTTATAAAGTTAGCATTGTGCTTATTTCATCATGAGTGCTCAATTAAATGTACATATTATTGAAATTATTATGCAAACTTAATTCTATGGGAAGCTTTTCTTAAGCTACAATTAAAATGTCCGTAGTTTACAAATGTGTAAGTAGCGCTCACCAATGGGATATTTCAGTGTACACTGAAGTGTGAGAGTCCAGTTGAGCAGCCGTATGCTCTCCTTCACAAATGTACAGTTGGGCCGCTTAATCTTATCTTGTTCTAATTTAAAGCAATTACAACTGACATAAACTTTTACATATATCTATCAAGTAATGTGTATAAACACGGTGTGTGTGTGTGTGTGTGTGTACGTATATGTATACACACATTGTTTTATAGTAGAAATACTCAGGAAATTTGGAATTGTCAGTGTCACTTTGAATTCTATCTTTTCGGATTCATGTTTTGCTTTCCCAAACATCTGTTAGGCTTCTTAAAATAGGATTTTACTTTTAATGCCCAGCATGGTACTGGGTACTGATAGAGACAGGAAACAGCCAAGAGTCCTTTGCGAAACCTCGTCTTCAAGCCTGAAACAGCTTGAAGGATGAAAAACCAGACTGCTGATCCTGGATGAATCTCACCCTTTCCCCACTGATTCTCTCTTAATAATGCCCACCTGTGCACTGGGGAAGGGGTGGAGCTATGGGAAGTTCACGTGATTTGCTGCCTGGGGGAGCCTGGCGTCTTTTGTTGCTATGTGGTGTCCTGGGATTCAATCTGTAAAGGGCCTGCTAGCAGGACTCTCGCTTTGCTGGGAGTTCCTCTTTTTTTTCTTTTTTTCCTTTTCACGCAATAAACCCTGCCTTACTCACCCTACAATGTGTGTGTGCCCCTAAATTTTCCTGGTCGTGTGACAAGAACCCATTGCTTTCTACAACGGTACTAAATAATGGTTTGTTCACTTATCACAAAAATACATGCAAGGCTACAATTTTAAAATGTATTTATTTTTCTTATTTTACTTTGCAAAAGTGACATTGTCTTCATAATATTTCATAATGTGTTTGCATAACATTCATAAAAATGGAATAAACTACCAACCTCAGTTGAATCATCTGCTTTTGATAAAGAATGATTCCGAAAACGATCGAAATTCCCAAAACTGCTGCTTCGCTATAAAATAGAAAAGAAAAAGGAAACTTAGAGCTTGCTATTTTCACTGCCCAAACTGATAAGTATATTAGATTATAGTTTAATAAGCACCATCTCTTGCAAATACAGGCTTTAAGAAGCTCTTCTCTCTGGAATATCCAAAGGCTGTGAAGGTATACCTATTAACATTTTTATATTTACAGTTGATAAAACGTCTTCCTATGTTTTATGTTATAATGTTAAGTAAGCACCTCGGAGAAAATCTTGGTTAAATTATTTTAAATTTTTGATTTTAATTTCGTTCTTCGAAGCGGCAGCTGAAGAATCCATGAATTCTAAACCTAAAGCTTCTTGAAATGAGCTAACCACAAACTTAACAGCATGTAGTACTAACCAACTAACCAATAAACAAATAACAACAACAACAAAACACACAAACAAAAAGCAAGCATCTGAGTAGATCCATCATTATGCCTCACAAAGATCAAGTTTGTTCACACACTGGGGCCTGTGGGGTGGAGGGCGGGGAGAGGGAGGGCATCAGGAAAAATAGCTAATGCATGATGGGCTTAATACCTAGGTGATGGGTTGACAGGTGCAGCAAACCACCATGGCACATGTTTACTTATGTAACAAACCTGTACATCCTGCACATGTACCCCGAAACTTAAAATAAAAATGAAAATAAAAGATCAAGTTTATTAAAAAAAAAAAAAGAACATAAGTGCATTTTCTATTACCAACTCTTGATCATTTGAAATTCTCTGCTGGATATCAGAAAAAGAAGGCGCACACATAGACTTATTAATAAATTGAACGCAGCTTTTAGGTATGCACAGTCCAAGGTTGGGAGTAAAATGGAATTTTTCCACATTTAACATAGAATTACAATGAGACCTCTGGGTCAGTTTCATTCACTGTTTTGAGAAAAATCTCAGTATGTTAATAGAAGATGTTGCCTTGAATACCTTTTGCTAACAAAGCTGAATCTTTATTATGCAACTCATTCTAGGCAGGTAATTATAAATAATTTCTGATAGGTGACAAAATAAATGAATCCCTTAAACACGTTTTAAAATTCTTTAGAGTCATTGAGTCAAAAAATTGATATTTTCTCACTATCTAATTCTATGCATTGTTTGGGATGGTGGATATCTGATGCTGTGTTCTTTGTGTACTCATAAATCCCGAGAATATTTTCTTTCTAAAGGACTTTATCTTATTTCAAGCTTATCATATTTTAAAAATAAACTGGTGGTACTGACGTATAATCTGGTAATTTAGAAAATTAATAATGGGAGTCAGTAATCTATAAAGCCTTGTACAACAAGGCCTCACTTAATGCTGTTGATGGGATCTCGGAAATTGCTACCTTAAGCAAAACCAGGTGTAATAAAATCCTCTTTACCATGGGCTGCTCGAAATAACAAGTTCAAATAACAAGTTCCTATGATCCATTTCTCGTTACAAAAACATTATCAAATTTCTAAATAAAGACCCAAACACTTCTAATGGTAAACACTGAAACAAATGCGATCCATACACACATTTAAGAAAAATTAATTTAAAAAATTAACATAATTATTTACCCAGTTATTCCAGCTCAGGGTTGCTGTGAGTGGCCAGAGCCTATCCCCACAACTCGGGACACAAGGCAGGAGCTAGCCCTGGACAGAGTGCTGTCATCGCAGGGCACGCTGAAGCCCACATCCACACTCACTCATTGTGGAACAATTTGGACACGCCGATTGACCTGAGATTCCCTTCTTTGGGATGTGGGAGGAAACTCACACAGAAATGAGAAGATTGTGCAAACCCTGCAGTGACAGTGACCCTGGTCAGGAACTGATTTTTTTCCTCCATCAGTGTTATTATAACAAAATGATGTTGGAGAAAACGATGTTATTGGAGGACCTGCTATATTGTCCTTTCAGAAATCACAGCCCATTTCAGTAAAAGGCAGCTTCAAGGGCTCCTAATCCCTGAAAGCTCTCATGCCTCCCTACCAGCTATTTAAAAATGTTTGTTTCCCTTTTAAATGAACGGAAATAAAAAGATCCTGACGTGTGACAAGGGGTTAGCTTGATAGACGGTGTGATACAGAATATTGCCCCAAGGATGATAGCTGTGTTAGACACAATTAACGCCTTTTGCTGACTGGCCACCCCTGCTGAACAGGCCCCTCAGCCTGTGGTGAGAGGAGCAGAAGCGAAGGCTGAAACTGAGAACCACACTGGAAAATACAAAGTCTTCCTATGTAGTACTTACTAGCCTAGAGTGGCTTCTCAGAATATTAATCACTCCAACTTGCCTAGTAGGTGTTTCCATCTGGCCGCCATTGCTCAGCAATCGCAGAAAGGAATTGAGCCTATTGTTGTCCAGCTTATAAACAATCTGAACACATGGAAATCTATTACTCTTTTTTATACTTAAAACCATTCTATGGCCGATTGGAGCCCATGCCTAAGGCAATTTTGTAGCCTACATATAGCCTGTTAAATATGAATGAGAGTTAGTGTATGATTTCCACAACTGGATAATGGGTCCTGTTGCACAGGAGGGCACAGAATAGACTCGCTTCAGCATTTTGCTACACTGTCTTCTTCCATTAAGTAATCAATAGCCACCACCTTTTAAAATTAATTCTCCCCTCGTTATTTCAATAAAGAAAGGCAGATTTAGGAGTCATGGTTTAAGAAGAACACAGGACGATTACCCTGGGTTTTGTCAGTCATCTCATTGCTAATTACTCAATAGCTTCAATCCGTGTTAAGACACCCTTAAGAAAAAAATCTAAATATTTAAAAGAACATTTATATTTGTTCACTATTCTCTAGTTTAAAAGTTAGTAACTAACTTTCTCAGATGGTATTATAATGTATAGATTATGGTTTATGACAAAAAATGACTAAGGTCTACTATGAGGTCTGGACAATGAACATATTTATAACTTCTGTTCTTGTCAAGTTTTATGATAACAAGGTGAATTATGTGGAAACAAAGCTTGCTTCCTAAATAATAGTACTTAATAAATGAGAATGTGTTTGAATATTGGTAATGTTGCATTATATAATTGTAATGTATTAGACTTAGTAAATATTATCAAGTTCTTATCAAGACAGTTATTATATAAACAAATAGCTGTCAAAAAGAAGAGGAGCTTAAATAAAAATGCTATATATATTTTAGATAATTCTTTGTGTCTGCTGACTTTGTATCGTATTTACTCATTATACTCTACATAAACGTTTCCAGTCTTTCCTTATGCAATTAGAAATGCATTTGTAAAATGGCACAATACCTATATAGGGGAATTTGGCAATATCAAGCAAAATTACATATACATTTGTCCTCTGTCCCAAGAATTCCATTTCTAGATGTCTTTACCAGCAATACATTTGGATATGAATTGTTTACATTTCCACATTCACTGTAGCACTTTCATATTATCAAAAAGCTGTAAAGCCTAATGTTCATCAAGAAGATACTGATTGAATAATATATGGTACATCCACACAATGCAAATGTATGAAGCTGTAAAAAATTAAATACATGTTTTTATATGCAACAGAACAACCTGTAGGATATAGTGTAAGTTGAAAAAGTAAAATGGAGAAGAGTGCAATATGTTTAAATACATCTAACATCAAAATTCATGAGTTCATAAGGATACTAAAAAGAAAAATTCATCAGTTACATTGGGAAATGTTGTAATTATATTCTGAAAACTAATAAAGGGACAACTTAAGCATTTAATCTGCCTTTCCTGTATGAAACCTATTTCATCAACCAAATAGTTCATCCACTAAATAGTTGATGAGGGGAAATTGTTCTATATATGTTCATACTTCAGCTAATCAATTAAAAGTGATGAAATAATAAAATTACCATTTTGCAAACCCCTAATGCAATGTTGAATCCAGCCAATGATCATCAATGGTCACTAAAATCACACAAAAGGAGATAACCAGAGTATGTGCTTTCTGATGGAAGCATTAAATACAACTAATGAAATATTGTTTATAAGAAAGAAAGGAAGCAAGAAAGCAATCACACCAAGCTCTGTATCTAGCTACCAGTTTTAAGGAAAAAAAGAGACAGAGGAGCATGTTAAATGATACCAAGAAGATACAGTCAGTCGGAAAATATACAGACAAGAAAATACAGGACAAAACAACCGAGCTTCTTCAGCAAATCAATATAAAGAAATTTTAAAAAAGAGTTAAAGTGTAAACTAAGAGACTTCAGAAACATATCATCCAAATATAATCCATGAATCTTGTTTAAATATAGATCAAATAAACCACTATACCAAAAACATCAAAAGACAACTGGGGAAATTTTTAAATGACTAGCTATTTGATGTTAAGGAAGTAATGTTACTCTCTTATTTAGAATTTGAAATAATCTAGTGAGGAGCAGCAAATGTGTGGGCATGAGGAAGAAACACAATTGGTCATTCTTGAATAATTAGCTGGGCGGTGGATATATGGGGGCAGTATTTACTAATCTCTACTTTTACATATATTACAAATTTTCCATAATAAATTGTTGGGTTATCAAAAGAAATATTCCTGTATAATAGCTAAAATGATATAAAAGTTAGTGGTCTCATAACTTTATTTATTTATTTACTTATTTTGAGACCGAGTCTCCCTCTGTCGCAGGCTGGAGTGCAGTGGCTCCATCTCAGCTCACTGCAACCTTCGCCCCCTGGGTTGAAGCGATTATCCTGCCTCAGCCTCCCAAGTAGCTGGGAATACAGGTGTGTGCCACCACGCCCAGCTAATTTTTTTGTATTTTTAGTAGAGACAAGGTTTAACCGTGTTAGCCAGGCTGGTGTTGAACTCCTGACCTCAGGCAATTCGCCCACCTTGGCCTCCCAAAGTGCCTGGATTACAGGTGTGAGCCACCATGCCCAGCTGGTTACATAACTTTAATTAGGAATCAATTTGTTTTTTAAAAAAATCATAATATGGTTTAGGTCATGGTTGTTTGGAAGTACAGAAAGGGAAGAAAAT